TGATAGAGCCAACCTCAACGACAAATGTACAGAACGCGGTCATTGGAAAATGCCTGGTAGAAGCGAACAAAAATGGTCTTATTCCTGTCAGAATAATGAATACCGCTAAACACACTATTAAAATTAAAAAAGGCGAGGAAATAGGTAATTGCCAATCAATAAATTTGGTGAAATCATTAGATATGGAGCAACAGGAAAAGGTTCTACCAACTGACAAAGGTAGACTCAAAGAACTTACCAAAAATCTACTGGATGAACTCAATTTGTATCAAGAAGACCGTCTAAAAGCCGAGGCGTTGATTGCCGATTTTGCAGACGTGTTTTCAACCGGTGACAATGACCAAGGTAAAACCGCTCTGGTAACTCACCGAATTGATACTCAGGATTCGAAACCGATCCGACAAGTACCACGACGTCTTCCTCTAGCAAAACAAGCAGAAGTAAACGAAATGATAACGACAATGCAGAATCAAGGGGTCATCGAACCGTCATCAAGTCCCTGGATTTCGCCAGTTGTTTTGGTAAAGAAGAAGGACGGCACTACCCGTTTTTGCGTTGATTATAGGAAGTTAAATGATGTGACTAAAAAGGACAGCTATCCGTTACCGAGGATTGATGACATCATGGACACCCTATCTGGCTTAAGTTGGTTCTCCACGCTTGATTTGAAAAGCGGATACTGGCAAGTAGAAATCGACAAGAACGATCGCGAAAAGACAGCGTTTTCTATCGGATCGGGATTGTGGCAATTCACCGTCATGCCATTTGGATTGTGCAATGCTCCAGCTACATTCGAGCGACTGATGGAATGTGTATTGCAAGGTCTTAACTGGAAAACCTGTCTTGTCTATTTAGACGACATAATTGTTCTATGAAGAACATTTGATCAACACGTCGAAAACTTACGGGAGATCTTCACAAGACTTCGGGTGGCAAATTTAAAGCTGAACGTTAAAAAGTGCAGATTATTTTCTAAAGAAGTTAACTATTTGGGACATGTGGTATCTTCAGATGGAGTTCGAACCGATCCCAGCAAGATAGAAATTGTGAAAGACTGGCCAACTCCGAAGGATAATACCAAGAAGTAGAACGACCGAAATCCTTGATGAAATGCATGGCGGCCCTTCTGGGGGACATTTAGGAGTGAACAAGACCCTTGACAAAATACGAGAAGGATTCTACTGGCTTCACGTTAGAGAAGATGTAGAGAGCTGGTGTCGAAAATGTAACACATGCGCTTCAGTCAAAGGAACCAAAAGAAGGCTAAAAGGAGCAATGCAAATCTACAATGTTGGTGTCCCCTTTGAACGGATTGGTATAGATATTGCTGGACCCTTTCCGGTATCAAATTATAGAAACCGTTACATTTTGGTTGTAGCGGACTATTTCACAAATGGCCTGAGGTGTTTCCAATACCCAACCAAGAAGCATGTACCGTCGCTGAGGAAATTGTACTCAATTGGATTAGTCGATATGGTGTCCCATTGGAACTCCACTCAGATCAAGGTCGAAATTTTAAGTCACAACTGTTTGCGGAAATGTGCAAGCTGCTGGGTATAAACAAAACTCGAACGACACCCACAGTCTGACGGTATGGTGGAACGATTTAACCAAACCCTGATTGAACATCTGGCTAAAGTAGTCGACGAAAATCAACGGGATTGGGATCGTCATATACCATTGTTTCTTATGGCATACCGGAGTGCTATCCACACAACTACTGGAGAAACGCCATCAAAAGTTCTGTTTGGGACAACCTTAAGAACTCCAGCTGATGTGAAATATGGCGTACTACCTGAACCACACCAACCATTAACAGAATACGTGGATAATTTTCGACAGCGATTAAACCATATCCACCGTTACGTACGCCTTAAAATTATGAAAAACACGGAGGCGGCCAAAACCAAATACGACTTGAAAGGAAGCAGTGGCGGTTTTGCTTTCGACGAGTTAGTTTGGCTGTACAACCCATAGCGAAAGAAAGGACGTTCTCCAAAGCTCCAGCGAGGGTGGGAAGGACCTTATCAAGTCATCACCCGCTTGAATGACGTCGTCTACCGTATTCAGTAATATCGGAAGCCGAGAGCAAGAATGAAGATCGTTCATTTGGATAAACTGGCTCCGTACCATGCGGACACCGGAACGGAAGCTGTTCGGGACGAACAGAACTAAGAAGGGGGTAATGTTATAACCGTGATACCGAACGCACTGGATTCTAGCGTATTCTGGAATGTTCTAGTGACTGGAGCATTCTAGAGTATGCTAGAATCGGACCATCTGGAAGAATCTAGAAACGACGCTTGCGAAGAGTATATAAGCGCGCGTCGCAAGATTCGTGATTAGTGGTATTCGTGATTAGTGATATTCGTGATTAGTGATATTCGTGATTAGTGTTATTCGTGATTAGTGATATTCGTGATTAGTGAAATTCGTGATTTTGTGATTTCGTGAATAGCGATTCGGTGAATTATTTAAAGCGATATTTGATTTGTTTGTTGACGTTGTCATAGCGATAAATTTTAAACAATTTAAAAGTTAATTGTTGCGTTAATTTGAATTTGCTAGAAATAAACGATTAGTTGATTTCTTCTGTAAATAAAGTTTAATAACGAATAACTGTTTGGAGTATTTTATTCAATCGAAGATTTGAACCCGTCGCATCGTAAATCGGTTACGACAGCGAGTATTATAACAATATTTTTATGAAAAAAAAATTTTGAAATTCTATTTTAATTATTATTTATAGAAATGGTAATTAAAGGAGATAAATATTTACTGTACATTATCACTTGCGCAGGGCCTATTCTGGACGTGTTCTGTCATGTTTTCTGTTTCCATGTTTAAACCTGTGTCCCAATGTGGAGTTTTTTTTAATTTCTTATTGCAGTTGTCGTTACTTAATTTTTGGTGATATGGGCCTTATGGGTTTTAAACCAGGGTTCATTGGTTTTTATTCTACATTATGTTCTGTTAATTTCTGGTTCTCATTTTTTTGTCTCTAAGAATTTTCAGTTTTGGTTACTATCCTGATTTTTCAATCACTTCAAACTTAACCTAACATTGGTATCATGTCAACATCTTCAAGAAAAACAGAAATGTAATTTATATTTTTTATGATTTTAATTTTATTATGGTAAATGATGTTAATGTTACAGTTAGTGTCTGTATTATCATTATAATTGTTGTTGTTAATGCTGTTGTTGTTGTTGCTATTGCTGTTGTTGCTATTGTTGTTATTGTTGCGGCTGTTGTTCATTCTAATGATTGTTTTTTTTTCTAGCAAAAATTGTTTTCGTGATGTGCATGTTTAACTTTTTGCAGCGGCACTCACAGGACATAATTCAATTTATCAGACATAATTCGATATATCAGGATGTCTCACCTCTTGTAATTACCTTTTTGTTTGCCTCCAATGCTCTTCCATTCTGTTTTCCATGCTTCTGTTGTTTCTGTGGTTGGCGTGAAATGTGGCAGTGAAACAAAATTATGTAATGAAGTGGATGTAGAACATTCAAAGACCTTTTTGCAGAAATATGTAAACTTCGAAAAAAAACATTTTTAATTTTTTGTCTATTTACGTATAGCTCTAAAATAAACATTTTAAATTTCTCATGTTTATCTATGTACTTTCAGCTGTATTATTATAATAAAGATTCAATGATGTACCGATTCCTGGTCTGTGCTGGTGTAATGGTTAAAATGCCTGGCCCTGCTGCTGCAGTAATTGGGTTCGATTGCCGAGTTCCCAGCCAAAACGTTTGCCTGATGTTTTTAAAGTTCTCTCATACTCTTCCCATGTTCAGAGGACGTACAAGCATCGCATACGAATACATGCTAAACGACGCATTACACAGGAAGCAAGTCATAGGCAGAGATCTTTTTGTCGTATTCGAACCCGGCCACTGCACGCACTGCGAAAAGGCTCCAGGCGACCTTAACCATTAGGCCATCGCATAAATAAAGTTGTGATAGGCTTTAAAAATTTTTAGTTTTTGTTGAATTAAAATGTTAAAATGTTTCATTGTTTTTTCGCAAATTACACTCCAGTACAAAAGTATTGCACGCTTGAAATTTGTTGAGAGTTTTAACAAGTAAACTTGGCATGGCGTAACTGCTTATGATAATTTCACACATCATATAGCTAAATTAATGTTTAATTTTAAAATATTTATACCTATTTAACTTTTAAATGACGCAGTACTTTGAAGTAATTGCTTAATAAATTTATTATACGTGATTAACAGCACCTAGCGATCTGAAATTTTTTAAACGTTCAATACTTTTGCACATGCTTGTAGAATTGACAAATATCCAAATTACCCCTTACAATTCTAGAAGATGCATTTTGTGGTGCGAGGGCCTACATATTTAACTCTATATATCATATATACAATATACATACAAATATATATTAGATTAAGACTGTCGGAAATGCAATTATTGATGAAAATCACAGTATGTTCGGCCTCAGTTAACTTCCAATTTAACTTTTCAATATTTCTAACGATTGATCGGAAATCATTTTCAAGTTCCATTAGTTCAATGTTTTTGTTTTCGTATATATTTTTTTTCATTCAATTCAATTTATTTAGCAAAAAGCATCGAGACACAGAAGCTCAAACGAGCTTGTATGGCCACCCAATCCAAACCAAATAAAAACATATAACTACATGAAAATAACAACATAAATGAAAATAAAATCGTACAGCTAGCCAATGAAAACAAGTTAAATTAAACCAAAAATGAGCAGAAATTACTTAGAACAAAAATGATCATCAAAATTTATCAAGTTAAACAAAACAATTGAATTCATATTATAAGTTTTTCCTTATAAAAAAAAAACTTAAAAAATTGAAAAAATTAAATCATATCCTGTAAAAAAAGTTTTTCTTAAGTCAAAAATCGATATGTGGTATATATATATATATATATATACATATACATATATATATATATATACATATATATATATATATATAACACTTAAAAGGTGTCTCAAAAATACCAAACAGTTTAATCAATTTCAACTGAATTTAAGTCAGTCTGTGACAGTCTTTGCCACGTACCAACGGGAAGTAAGTTTGTTTTGGCCTTATTCATTTGAATGCCATTTTGGTCCATCCAAACATCAATCTTAGAGAGACAGTTAACAAGTCTTTCTTTTAAACCAACAAAAAAACTAGGTGAAGTGCTGTCAACCAACTGAATGTCATCGGCATATGCAAATGCCCTGTAACCAAATTCATTCACCACATTTAGTACATCAGCCGTGTAAAGCATAAACAACAGTGGGCCCAGCACAGAACCCTGCGGTGCTCCAGATTGTAAAACATCACTATCAGACAGGACATTATTAAAACAAACCTGTTGAGACCGATTGAAAAGATATGACCTTAACCAATCTAACGCTGAACCAATAATACCATAACTAATAGAAAGACGACGAAGAAGAGTATCATGCTCAACGCAATCGAAGGCAGCACTCATATCAAGGAGAGCTAGTATAGAAATCTGTCCAGCATCTGAAGCCTTAAATAATTCCGATGTTACTTGTAGTAACAACGTCTCAGTTGAATGGTGTTGCCTATAACCAGATTGATTAACCGGTAAAAGATTATTTGCGTTCAAATAACTTATAATTTGTTTAGCAACAATTTTTCAATGATCTTAGAAATAAATGACAAAGTCGACACTGGTCTATAATTGTTGACATTATTGATGTCCAGGCCCGTTTTTTAAAAGCGGGATAACTATTGCATAATTATACTTTGTCGGAAAAGTCCTACTAAACAAATTCAAATTAATTAGGCTTGTCAAAAATGGTAAGAACAAATCAATGTGCTGCTTAAACACACGAGTCGGTAGCAAATCAAGCATACCTGTTTTATTCGAAGCATCCATGATTATGGTCTTAATATCAGATGAGAAGCAATTTAAATACCTAGAAAAACATGCCAGATAGTTTAAATTGCACGAAAAGTAAGGTTGACCAAAACCATGTATAGATGCTTTAATGTCAACAAATTTTTTCTGAAAAAATTAAGAAAAGTATCGGAAGTGTGGTCTGTATTTTGAGAGGACAACTCTCGTGATATGTTAATATTTAATATTTTACCTAATACCTTCCACAGCCTATTCGGGCTATTTTCATGAATAGTGGTAATGTTCTTCCAATATTCCCTACGTTTCTGAGCACAAAGCCTATTTTTATTTTTAAGTGCATTTATATACAATTTTTTATTAACATCATTCTTAGAAGATCTATTATTCGCTCAAATTTTCTACAGCTTCGCTTACACTCTCGACAAACAAAATCGAACCAAGGCGCTGTTGGTACATATCTCGATTCAATCTCATGCAATGGTACAACCATATCAACAATGGAACGAATTTCACATTCAAAAAATCAACTGCTTCATCAACAGTTTTGAAATCAAAATTTTTTCTAAAAATGTGTTTTTCAACTAAAGCTATAAACTTTTCATTATCAACACGAGACCATGAACGAACATGTTTTTTGGTCTTTACAAATGGGGGGAGGCTAAGCGACATACTCGCTTCAATAAAACTGTGGTCTGAAATGACACCACTAGGCTGAACCGAACAACTTACAATTGATAAGTTGTCAATAGGAACAACCAAGTCCAAAGTGCCACCCAATAAATGCGTAGGCTCACTGACGATGTTAGCCATATTAAATAATGTAAAAATTTTTTTTAATGGAATACCATGCTGATGTTTTTCAACGTGAATGTTGAAATCTCCCACCAAAATTAAATGATCACAAAAATTTAATAAATACTCTAAAAGTGAGGGCTAGCCCCTTAAAAAACTTTACTGATATCATTTGTGAACCTGGTCTAAATATAGCAAAAAATAACATTTGTAGGACCTAATGATAACCTGAGCGCAACAGCTTCAAACGAATGCAGTAACGGTAGATTAACTTAGAACAAATGACGGATATTTTCACGAAAAAATATAAAAATACCATTTTAATCCTTAAAAAATCAACAACAACATAGCCAGGTGGCATAGACATTCCCACACAAACATCATCAGAACTACCATGCCAGGTCTCAGTTAAAATCAATACATTAAGTTTATCACATAATAAATCATAAATAGCATCTAATAGTATGTATGTATGTATGTATGTATGTATGTATGTATGTATGTATGTATGTATGTATGTATGTATGTGTGTGTGTATACGCATGTATGTAATATGTATGTAGTTTGTTGCGTGGTTATGAATAATGTTACCTATATTAAACGTTAGCTACCTGGTTTTTACCTAAATTAAGAATAAATCGAACGTTGTTCCTATAGGCTGGTAATTTATATAGCTTATGTTATTGTTATTTAATCATTTTATTTAAACATTTATATTTAAAAGTTGGTTGCTTTTTGTCATTTTATAATTTATATTGTTTTAACGTGATTTTAAACTTTATTTTGTATAATTTTTGTATTATCATATATCAAGTAGGTCTCTTGCTGATTTTTATAATTAATGTGCATAATTTTTCTGATTTTCATGACAATTGTATAAGTTTGCTAATAAATTAATAAAGAGATAAGTTTCACTCTTCTGTCTTGGTTTCAAATTATTTTTTTAAACTAAAGTTTTAATTTTATTTTATGTAAATTAAAATTTATTTAAATTAAAAACGTAAAATGTTTATTTTTTTATTTAAATTAAAAGGGTGTGGTTTACGTGTATTTTATATGATTTTATTTATCAAAATTTGTAATTACTTAATTTTTTATTATTATTAATTTATATTTATATTATATTTAAATTAATATTAAAAATATGTATTTTATATGATTTTATTTATCAACATTTATTTTCATTCAATTTTTTGCATTTCTTAAGTTAAGAAATTTAAAAATACTAGAAATACTTGCCAGCCTTGTAGATAAGAATTAAAATTATTTTTAATTTTATATATATATATAAATTTTATTGTCAAACTAGAGACTAAACTTTGCTAAACTAGTCAGACAGAGACATGACAAAAAGAAATTGTTTTTACTTTATTTTTCTTCTTGGCCAAACTTAAATTAAAACTTGAATTAATTAAATTAAAAAATTAAACTGATTAATTAATTTATTTTATAATAGTTTTGTTTACTTTTTATTTTTACCAACTAAATGTTAAATAAAATATTAAAACGTTTAATAATTTTTTTAATTTTATTAAATTATTAAGGAGGAGTTATTAAAAAAACAAGAATGAAATAAGTTTGAATGTTTCTTTGATTATTTCATTCCTTTGCAATGCTTCATCATATCTGAGCTGTCGTGGCACTCAATTGTGAAGAAGGAAGTTTGAATTAATTTATTCAATTTAATTTTACTGACATGATGAACTTTTTGACAAGAGTTGTATCATTATTTTTCGCCGGGGTATTATTTTCTCTTGTATTGAATCTTCTACAATTCCAACGACAGATAACAATATTCCCTGACTTGGTTGACAACGTATTTTCTTCAACATGGTGGGTGCCTCCAAGCTGTGGCTTTGCAGCTGGTAATTATTCAATTTTTTTTTGATTGAACATCTTTCAATTCATAAATAATCATTACAGGAATAGCAGCAGTTTTAAAAAATTCATTTGTTGATTGCAGCTTTGTTGGGGATGTTTTACCCTTACACTGACAGACATTTTGGATTGTTCAATGAGAAGCAAGAGTGGTCAGGTGTCATGAGATGTGTGGCAGTCTTTGTGGGCATCAACCAGGCCAGCGCTGTATCCTTTCAATACTTTCTATTTTGTTTCTTACAATATTGTGGTTATATTGTATGTAAAATGCCTTTGGGGAAGTCATAAAAGTGTTTTCAAAATAATTTTATAGTAAAATTTGTCTGAAATGATTTTGAAGATGACAGCCCCAAACGAAATGTTTTTCTTCTGTTATATAAAATAAGTATGGATCAGTTAAGCATTCAATTATACTATTTTGAAAATTTTTTCTCATTTAGAATAATTGCACTGGTCTAAAAATTGTTTATCATTACATTGGCTAAACTTTGAACCAATATGAGATCCTAATGAACTTTTTGTAACATATTCATTATTTGAAATTTAAATTATTTTATTATGTTATCATTATTATGTTTTATATGTTATATTAAATTTTTTTAATAATTTTTGGCATCAGTTATATCACTTAATTGTATTTCATTATTTAGAAAATTGACTTTTCGAATAGCCTGCAGTTCTCATTGACCCTCTTGATTATGTCTTTTGGGTTGTGGTGGCTGTTTGACAAGTCAATGGTAGGCCTTCTGCTGGGAGTGTTGTTTTCCTTTGTGGCCACTTTTATGACACAACTTCTCGTTTATTGGGAATTATTCAAGTTAGTTGTTATTTTGTTATAAAAATAATACCTGATACGCACATGCCTGATGCACGCATTCTGATAGACAACATAACTGATGCACATGCAGGATACTTACAAAAAAGTTACCATTTAAAAATTGTTGCAGATACTCCAACCCAGACTTCGTTTTCGTTCGATCCTGGCTTCCATGCATTTTCTTCTCAGCCAGTGTGACGATGGGTCTCATAGGAAGGCAGTTGGCATTGGTCGGAATTATTTATTTTTTAATTCACTAACTTGATAAATTCTAACATTTTTGTGTAAATGAGTGAAATAATTGTTTTGATTAATGCGTTGTAGTAAATTTTTAATTGTACTCAACGACAGTATGATGAAACCTTTCTGAAGAACAAATGTCGTCTGACTAAAAAGTACCACATGGAATAACTTTACTGTGATATTGTCATACCAAAGATATTATTTTTATTCATATTTAATCTAATATACTTTTCAGATATAGCCATTTTAGTTTATTTTCATGTTCGCCATCTTTCTATTACTATGTCTTTCTAATAAATTTTCTCAACGTTGCAAGCCTAGATTGTGTTGATGTTGAATTTGGAATAAAAACTTGAAATAATTTCACCCAATTAATATAAATTTTTTCAAGGAATATAATAATTGTAACTATATTATTATATTTATACATATGTATATATGGCGGAGAGTGAGGAGAAACTGAAAGAAAAGCTGTCAGTGTAGAAAATATTCATGGAAAGAATGGGTTTAAATGAAAATGTTGTTAAGACCAAAGTTATGTGGAACGAGAGGATTCAGATACTCTTGAAAGTGGTAAATTCCCCAGTGCAGTGTGTGGCAAAGGAGCCGGAGAAAATTTCCTACTGTGTGTTAAATGAACGCACAAACGATACAGAGATCTCAACAAAAGCAAGGAGTTTGTTTGTAAACGATGTAAGTTGAAAGATGCTGCTAAGCAAATGGTGGTGCTGAGCACCTGGAAAATTTGGGATTTGAAAGAGTGGGTTTTTTTTGTTGTCTAAGTGAAGAGAGTATATCAGATAGAGCGGTCGAAAATAGAATGAAAGTAGGATAAACAAATTCAGAGAAATAATTCATTGCTGTGTTATATGGGTATACGATTAAGCCTGAAGGGTAAGATATATGAAGAATGTGTAAGAAGTTGTCCGTTGTGTCTAGAGTGAGTGAGAAACTTAGGCCTGACGGCTGAAAACTAAGAAGCCTGGAAAGAAAAATATGCAGATGATGAGAAAAATTAGAGTATCTTTGAAGCAAGGTCTACATAATAAGGTAATAAAAAAAGGTTTAGGGAAAGATGAGCTGTCAAATGTGGTTAGTATGTGCAGACCACCGTAACTAATATATACTTGTGCAACCATGTGCAATGAAACAAATAAGAAGTCGAATGTAAAATAATGAAACCAAACTAAACAAAACCCAACAAAAAATTAATAAAAAATAACTAAATAAAAGAAAATGACTCAACTAATATCAAAATGGTTGGACAGAATGAGCTTATGAATCGATGTTTTGAAAATATTACAGGATATAGAGTTTTTCACACTCTCCGGTGAAGTTTCCGAAAAAATGCGTAGAAGACGACAAAACTGAATTATGAAAAAAAAATTGGTCAAGGCGTAAAGATATAAAAATCAGGATTTTTACGGAAACCATCACATCTAGTATTTTTAAAGAAAAGGGTTAAAAAACGGTCGACAATAACTAAATTTATAAATTTTAAAATATAAAAGTAGTAAATAGCATGTGCACAATTGGTTTATATTAATATTTGCTATATAAGAATACGATGTAAATAATCAAATTTATGTAATATGATCAAATTTATGTAATTTGAACAGAATACGAAGAAAAAATCTGAGCTAGGGTCAAAATATGAAGATGAGGTACAGGAGTCGAACCCCAGACAGTTTTATATAAGTTAATATTCAAAGTATTAGATACCACCCAATCCTTGAAAAAAAAAAACACAATTACATCATTGATGACATTGACTAAAATATTGATATCAGAATGGGGGTAAAAAGAGTAGTGTCATCAGCAAACAGATGAAACTTTAAAATATTAGATGAATTAATTAAAACATTTTTATATATATTGAAAAGTAAAAATCCTAGAATAGAACTCTGGGGAACGCCAGATTTAATAGGAGACAACTGAGATTTAGAATCATTAATATAGACATATTGAAATTAATTATAAAGGTGAAAAGAAAACCATTTATAGGCCAAACCACGAATACCGAAGGAATATAAGTCGCACATAAAAATATGATCTAAAGAATCGAAAACTTGACAAAGATCAAGAAAAACAGCTACGGCGTATTTTTTGATTCAACTGTGAAAGATACATATAATTAAAAACATAATAACAGCCAACTCAGTTGACAATTCATCGCAAAAACTATACTGGTTAAAACAGATTACATGACAAAAATTATAAAATTCATTGAGGCAATTTAAAATAAACTTTTCAATTAATTTAGATATACTAGAAAATACTAAACATAGGACGGTAACCGTTAACAGGACGAACCCCAGATTTAAATAAAGGCAAAAGTTCAAGAAATCTTTAAACAACTTTGAAATAAAATCATCGCCACAGCTATGTTTTTTAAATTAACCACTTCAATGAATTTAAACGGAAAACACACAAATAAAACAAAACAAATGAGTCAGAAACACGATGGTCCATAAACCTTTTAAAATCAGAATTATGATCAGACGAATGATAAACATTATTTATTGACCAAGAATAGGCTAGTTGTTAAAATGGTCACACCAGGTGCTCCTAGCGAAAAGTTTTGGTATATTTTTATAACAAAGTTTTCTACATTTTGAGTTTTTTAATATTGTGAAGTTTTGAAGAGTTTCACGGTTTAGTTTTGTATTTTGGCAGCAATTTTTTACCGTTAATTTTTTACTACCGTTTTAAACAAAAATTACCAGAACGAGTGTTTGTAAAATATGCAAATATTTTATGTCAAATTTTGTGTTGAAATTGATAAGCAGGTACAACGTCCTGGACGATGTGATGAAAAGTGGGCTGGAGGGATTGGACGAGCGGATGAACGGATATCCACGTTCCAGTTGTTTACCCTCGAGACGCGTCACTTCATTGGCTCGATTTTTTATAATTTTTGATTTGTTAAAAACTGTGAATGTTTAATTTATCCTGATGACTCTTCATGACATGCACCACGCTTTCATGCGAGGTAATGTCATCAGCGTCGTGTTAATCCGAACTTTCGATTCTCCACTCTACGCCGGGTTTACTTTTTCTTAGCATTGATCTTGAATCGTGATAAACTAGGAAAAATGCTGATCCTGATAAATATAATTCTGATAGCCCAACAAGTAACTAAACTATTTTTAAGTTTTTTCCAAGCTACATGTTTTTTTCCACACTCATAAAATTCACACCATTAACTGCAGCCCAATCCTTACACTGCAGCATTTATCCTATTTGCATTCACCTCCGTTCTCCATCTTCAGCGAAGGCACTTTTCCAGTAAATATTAAAATTTTTGAAACAAAAACTAAAAACTGCATTTTCAATAAAAAATTGTTGACAACAGAATCATCTATTATTATCTCTTAGCGATATATATATATTAAAATAAATGTGCCGATTAATAAAAATCCCAAATTGAAAGAAATAAAAGAAAAACTAAAAAAAAATGGATCCAAACCAACGGTCTTCAGAAGAAGTTTCTTTAAATGTTCACTTTCTTTGACAGCCTCTTCAAAATCGTCTTACATCAATCAATTTTGTAATTACTTAGGAATCATCTTTTTGCAGTAAACTGTCATCCGTGAAAGTAAACTGTTACAACATGCAAGGCAACAATATAAAATGGTAACTAAAATAAATAACGAGAAAAAATTGTTTAAAACGTGAAAAGAATAGAAAATAGAACAAAGAAATTTATCCGCGCATAAGATTGGATCTTGATTGTACTTGCCACATTTTGGCATGGGCAGGGAATACCTTGTACCCCTGGCAGAAGATATTTTGTATCTGGATAGATGGCAGACGACACTTCCTTCACTGATAAACATGGCGACTTTCTGCAGTTTGATTGCCACAATGAGAGCAAAAATTTTTCATCATGTTTTTTTGTTATCTTAAAATACACATGACATCTTTGCACACAATTTTTGGTCAGCTTGATGAGCAAACCATCTACTGATATCACCTTCAGTCTAAGTTGTATATAGACATTTTGCATAGTAAAATCAGTGGTTAAGCAAGCAACTACAACCTGTCCATTTATGGCAATGATGTGCTGGTTAGGGTCAGACTTCATCTGACTATTTGTGTTTGATACTGTCAACCAGCCCTCATCATTGCCGTAGTCGTCATCATCTTTGTTTTTATCATCTTTTTCTTCCTCTTTTTCGTCATTTTATCATCATTGGCAACATCATCTTGCATGGTTGTTTCACCTTCGAAATCTTCCTCAGACTGACTTTTGTCGTCATCATCAACATTTATTATCATTGTTATTACCATAATTATTATTCATTATGCACATAGAACAAATATACAAAGACAAAAAAAATTAGAATAAAATTTTTAACAAAATTATAAAATTATTGTTTATTGTCTAAAATTTTTTAAGTTAAATTGTCGGGCTACATTTTCGTAACTTTCTAAATCGCCCGAAGAAAGAGAAGGTCGAATTTGAGAAAGAGCATTTTTAAAATCTTTTCATGTCACGATTATTTCGACAACATTGTCAAAATAATTTGACTTACAGGTAGATATCGTCGCCAAATCTACCGATTCAGAAAGATCAGCCACAGTCAATCCATTTCATCTATTCATCATTTGCTACGACTTCCAAACAAACGTCACTCGCCATTTTTGGTATTGTTCCATTTTTCGTAATACTCCGCAGAATCTCCAGCCTGCCTTCAGCTGACGGAAGACCAATGTAAAGAAGGTTACCCCTTAAAAGGCAGGATCAAATAGTTGCGACTATCACAAACACACCATCTAACACGGTCAGTAGTTATCGTACTCCTTTCGTTTCACCGCCACTGATTGAATTAATTTCATCAAAAATATCCAAAAAGGGTGAGCATTCTTTTGCTCTTTTTGAAACAAGGATCCTATGTTTCTCTCACTTTCTCCGACGTATTTGTCGATTAACTTTGCCTTTCATCACACAAGTTAAAGTTGCAAACACCATTATCACTATTACTATCCTTATTATTACCATAACTATTATCATTATTAATACGGTTGCGGTAATTATTACCATCATTGTACATATTATTATTATCAGCAATGACTTTACCATCATCGTCGTCATTAGTCATTATCGTTGTTGATGATGACAGCAACATCAGAAGTGTCGTGTCTATTGTCGTCATCATCATCGTCATAGATACCATTAGTGTTTTTTCTCATATTTTTTTCGAGGAGACCTCGATGAAATCCTGTCATCAACACCTCTGTTGATCAAAGCTTTAATAAAATCTCTTCTCTTTGTTTTTAGAGTGTTGGTTCTGGTGGCTTCTGGCCTGGGCATGTTAGCTGCCTCGAGATATTAAACAATTTCATCTAGGACCAAATCAAACAACTTGATCATGAGAAATTCATTGTAGCCGTAGCAAAAACAGAGATCCGTTATCAACTGTTTGATGTATTCATTCCTCTTTTTTCCTGGCTCTCTTCTGTTCTTGAAATCACTTAAAATTTCCTTTGTTTCATTCATCCTCTGCTTTACTGCCACTAAACTGGTTGCATCTGCGTCGAAAATTTCGTTGTCACATTGGGCCATGTTATCAGGAATAACATTGAATCCATTATCCATTGAATAACAATCTCTTCTGTTATTTCTGAAATGTTTTTTAATATTTAATGTTTAATAATTTAATGTCTAATAATGTTTAACAGATACCAATGTGTTACAGTTTCAAAAATTAAATTTGAAAAACTGCTCTTTTTTTCTAATTGAGTTACATAATCAACGTAGTTGAGTAGTGAGTGTAAGAACAAAGAACCCTTCTTACAATGGTGTGCCGTTACATCTTTTAGCAATTTTTGAAAATTCTAACATTTATGTTTTAAATTTAATTTATTATTACTCATTCTTTGCTTCACTTATATCTTCACTTTTTCCTTTCCCCGTTTACATTAGACAGTTACTGTTGATTTTGCTTAATTTAATAAAGTTGTTTTATCGACTTAAATTGTCCAACTTAATAAGTTGTCACGTGTGTAAGTTGCTGCCCTACGACATGCCTATAAATAGCTGGCATAAATGAGTCTTTTTCTTTCTTTTGTTCTTGCGTTTTGTTGCATTAATAAATTAGGTTTTATTAAAGGAAGATCAATAATATATCGGTTGATGCGTTTCAATTAATATCGAACCCGTTACATTGGTACCAGAAGTAGGGTAGCTATTTCATTGGTGTACGACAATAATTGGATAATTAAATAACTAATAGGACGTTTTGGCGTTTTGTAAAAATTAATTAAGTGCTTAGTTGTAAGTTATTGCATTCATTGTATGTTTGTCGTAATTGGATAATTCATAATAACAACGGATCGATTAACGAAGACGAAACAACAAGAATTATGGCGTCTATCGAACGAACAGATAATGAAGAAAATACTGAAGAGATCAGTCGACGAAGCCAGTGTGCGATTGATGAGTAGATCACAACTGTTAGAGACGTAGGCAACAGTTTTGGAGGACAGCGTAAATTTCCATGCAGAATTGCGACGGAGGGTGATGTGTCGGAAGATACTGAAAGTAAATTGACGTTTTACAAAAGAAAACAGTTAGGAATGGAATATAAGCTTCGAGAAGCGGAAATTGTTAGACAACGAGAAAAAGATGAAGAAATATAAACTTAGAGAAGCAGAGACGGCCAGACAGCGAGAAAGAGATAAAACAGAATTTCGGCTTAAGAGCCAAGAATTAGATTCGACGACTAGAAGTAGAGTGTATAATCGAAGAGTAGCCGATGATGCTGGTGAGGATAATGATACAGTTAAAGTAATGCAACAAACTCCATTTTTTGCGGAGTCATTAAAACACCTAATAGGAACTTGTCCGTTAGAATCCAGAGATATTCCTGCTTTCTTTGAACATGTTTTGTTTATTTTACTTCACAACAAGGTGTCTTGTAAGCAGTGATATTTAACTTAAGTAAAAGTAAAGTAAAAGTAAAATGATTTTTGTGTAAGTAAAACTATAAGTAGAAAGAATTTGTTAAGTAAAAGTAAAAGTTAAGTAAAATGAATTTATTGTAAGTAAAAGTAAAAATAAAAGTAAAAAGAGTTTTAAAGCCAATATTTTACTTATACTTAAAATTTTTTTGAACTCAAAATTAATTTTTTTAAATCTTTGCAAATTATGATCTTTGGGGAAGTTCACTTTTCACAAAGCACGTGGTTCCATTTTCTTTTTATTTGTGTCTTCTATTTCTTTATTCTCAACCAACTAGAATTACAGTACTCCTATTTTGCTTTTTGTTCGTTATTTGTTCATTTTCGGCCAAAATGACTACTTTAGTTCAACTGATGTCAGGGAGAAAAAAAGAAAGTTCAGTAGGGGAGACTGGGGTCGAATGGACCAGGTACCGAAAGGACCTTCGAAATTAAAAATAGTAAACATGCGCTAACATTTTTTTAAAATTTAAATTCATATACGTCTCTTGGCTTTCTATAACCAGATGTAAATTTTATTAAATGTTTTTAGTAGCCGATTTAACTGTTTCACTTTTCCTTTTTTTGCGAGAAAAAGTGAAATATTCGTCTGTTTCTTTTTGAGTGTTTTAGAAAAATTTCGAGCGGTATGTTTTTGTTTTTTTGTCAGTTTCTATAAAATAATGCTTTCTGAACACGATAGTGTTGATTTGACACCTTTATCCTTTTTAATTTATTTGGCATGTCCGTTTTAGTGTCCAACTACCATGTGGTACAGGATGGACCAGCTTTGTGTGTACAGAATGAACCACTCTAATAAATACTAATACTTATATAAAGAATGATACCCTGGTCACAGTGGTTTATTAGTAATTGGAATTGAATCCATATCTAACTAAATATCAATTACTTTTGTAATTTCAATTTTAATAATTATTAATTATGAATTTTTAATTTAAAAATTAAAAAGTTCTAGAATATCTTTTGCTCCAATTTTCAATTTTAATAAAAAAATTATTGGAGATTGTGATAGTAATAATGTTTTTATTAATATTAGGAA